TTCCTGTCCATAGCGAGTCTAAAAACCACGATTAGTGTTGGCGGAAAACGCTCATTTCAAGTCAGGCTCTGGGCAGCTTTGTGACAGGTGGAACAACCATTGTAATGCTTAAAGCCACTACAATAGTCTGAATTAAACCAGAGCATATGGCTTTGGAAACAAAGAAACTTAACAAAGTTTTATTCATTTCATTCATTCATTCATTCATTCATTTTATACTGACGCATAACGGCTGACTCAACCTTACGATTTTCATTAGCAAGAATTTCCCCTGTCAGATGTTGTGCCTTGATGTCACAATTGTCGAATAGCCTTACAAGAGATTTTTTCAGCAATTTATTCCATAATCCTTGGGTCAGTCCGCACTACTGTTTGGGAATCGCATTTCACTACTACAACCAGCAGCTCCACTGTAACCTTAACTTTAACAGCTATCGTTACACTGCTTTTCGACTCTGAAAAATAATAGCTACTTAATTAAAGGCATAAAATTTAAGTAGCGTGAAACCATATTTTAACATTATTAAGCTGTCGTGTAGCCAGCCGAAAGAATTGCCGCAGACGTCATTTATAACTAATGAGGCAATGCTAGGAATCGCAAATTTGTTCATCACAACTGAATTACGATGAGTTTTTAGCTGAAGGCAATTTTGGAAAAATCTCTTATAATACATTGTATTTGATGTCTTTCTTGTTGAAATGATCTACTTAAAACACTTTTTTAGAGTGTTTTAGCGTACTTTTTCTTCAGCCTTCAAGATGCGGTATGCTTTCACAACAACCATCGGTCAAAGAGCAGAAGCTAAAATTCCCATTGCAATGGTTAGCAATGCGCTCAAAAACGAAATTACCAGTCAATCTTAGGGCATAAAGACTTCAAGTAAAATCGAGTCGTAGTCAAAGTCCCACGCACAATAATACGAAATGATGCCATTTTGCCGCATTGTCTCCAAAGGAGTGTGGGAAAGCGACATTGTGCTTGTTTAACAAACCATGTGAGCTACCAAACAAGGGCATGTATTACTCCCCCAATCTCAAATTCCACATTACCTTAGGAGCGAAAAAGCAACTATTAAAAACAAGATACATTAAATCATTTTCCCGCATGCATTTAGTCGAGATTATCGTCATTTTTATGAAGCCCGTATAGCTTACGATTAGGCAATCGGTGACCTGGTGCATGAGCTACAACCGGAATTAAAATTCAGTTTGAGCATTTTAAAATCAACGAAGGTTGGAAAGCACAAGAAAAGGACCTTTCGAAGTGTAAAGTCCTTAAAATTAGGTACAAATGCAAGGAAGATCTGAATCATATGAACTACACTACTTAAAAGAGTTATAAGTAGAACACGCGACTAGATTTAAAGGAAAATTACAGTATCTACCCAGAATTGAAAGATCACTCATTGTCAGCAATAATTATTTGATGCAAAAGTGGTTGAGAATCGCACACTTTTCTTTTTCTGTCCCAGTTTATCTTACCTGTAGTTACATCCCAGCAAAGACTTGATGCGCCGAGCAGGAAAAGAGGCAAATTTATAAGGGCAAAATTTGCGTCTTAAGAAGAAAAATAGTAAGAAAAGTCTAACTGCCTAGTCGAGTAGTTGACTCCATTCATTCTGTGTCAGGCAAGCATGAGGCACCGACGAGCCTACGTGAACTAATCCGCTTTTGTGAGAATAGGACTCGCTTAGCTTGTGGTAATTTTTACTACCTGTCAGTCTGATTGATGATTAGCACAGTATGAGTTGGCGCACTAAAGTCAAAACTAAAGCTCCCACCATTAAGCATTGGTCCTGTTAAATTATCCTTAGGCGTGGCAAGTGGCGTCTCAGTCCTTCTCAGTGGATTGTTTTGCGTGCTGAAGAATTTCTAAGCTTCTTGTCGTCGCAGCAGCTAGAAATCCCAACATTACCAAACATTCGCCATAATTTTTGGCACTGAAAGCTTATGCTTGTTGTGAGGGAGAAAGAACGTGGGCTGGTGAGGGGTAGGCATGTGTTGGCACCCTGCATTAAGGGTTAAGGTGAAGCCCACCAATTATACGAAGACCAGTAACAATATCAGACTGCACAGTATTCAGAAAAGCCAGTGTATTTATGCAATTTCTCTTATCAATTTTCCAAATAAAGTGAGTCAGAAGTGAAGTAGATGGGACAGCTCCGAATGAAGGACAAAAGGAAATGATGAGCCATCGCAATGTCTTACACTCTGGAGGCCCTTTTTAGTACCACATTTTACTAAATGGCCGGTTTAGATGACAGTTCTCACGGCTTCCTCCTTCCCTTGGTGGAAGCTAAAAGTCTTGATTGGATTAAACTCAGCCTACCTGAAACGAAAGTGGCGAACGAAGGCGATTTACATGGAAGTACAGAAGAATCGTTAATTGGAATGTAACCCAGAAAACCCGCATCACTGCAACATCAGCGATCGAGGCCTGAGATTTGAGCTGTATGTCTGGACGAAGAGTCTCGTCGGAGTCGTCTGTCAACAATTTTGTCCACCGGTTCCATAAGGCTGTGACATTCCAATCCCTACAACCATTGTCAGCTTGTTTTTTTTTGTGTCACGTGTAGGGGTGCTGAGTCCCTTCACAGATCCTTCATCACATCATCGTGTAAATTCACCTCCACTTGATCGAGTCTCCTGTGATTTAACAAACAGATCAAAAAATTCATATTTCGGCCGTCCAATTGCCTTCGTGCATTCCGTGGATCGCACTGCTTTCTGATTGGTTGGTTGTGGAGAAAGAATCACCCTTGGATCACCGAACAACTGAGGTAAGGGACGCCCTTTTTACCACTTTGACTGAGACAGCACCTTGTCACTAGTAAGTAACAACCATCCGCTTTCATGTTTCTGCAGGATTTATTTTAGAGCTAGAAGAAGTGGTGACTACTAAAATGTGGCAGCTTAAAGTAGGTTGACGTCTGTGCACATTCCACCTCACATCTTCCCCTTAACTTTTAGTGACTTATTAAGAATGAAGGGTCTGGAGAAGAAATTACCTACACCGGATAACTACAGATGCCAGCATTGTGCAAAAAATCAATTTCTTTGTAGTTGCCTTGGTGAAAAATGCGTTCAATCTCATTTAAGATCAGTTAGTTTATATTCGTTGAACAGCATTGAGTTATCGAAGACTGCATAAAGCATTAAAACGTCACTCTTACGGTGTGAAGTGGGTGGCTGGAGAGATGATCTGTCGACTGGAATGTGGCTTTGTCACACATAACTGACGAGGCTCAGTGAACCACGTGAGGGAGGTCTGAATTTCACACTCAAAATTTTACTTCTACACCGCACTAATAGAGTTATTATCATCGGCTACCGGTTGATTTTTCACCTCTGAACAGAAATGTCAATGCGAACGAACAGCAATGGCTTCTGGCGTGTTAGAACCAGTGGATGTTTAGAAAGGTTGTAACTGAAATGCCTCGATGGTAAGGTGTTTAAATGAAAGCAGCTATTAAAATGCCGATAAAACACGATGGTGTACAGCCAATCTATCATCTTTGCAGTTCCATTTATGCGTTATTGTGAATCACCTAATCCTGAATAAAATCATGCAGGAGAAGGTCGGAACGCATGTCTGAACTTGCCACCCTAACGTACTGAGATGGTGGTAATCGCCGAATTCGGTTATAACTTAGGACCACCATTTTTGCTTTGCTGAACTCAAAAGTAGGGGAAGACACATCCAGAATCTACCTAGTCCAGGAGTGCAAACTGAAAGAATGTCAGCTTTATCTAATTGACATTGTAATGTCTACGCTACTTAATTGTATATAAGTAGCAATAATATCCACAAAGGATGTATTCGGTCAGCTTTATGGGGTAATCCAAAGTCCTCTTACACATGGCAACCACACCTTAGCCTTTGTTGTGCCTTAAAATCGTGTATTTTGGTGCTTAGAGAACACAAAGTAAATGTATGCGGTATATTTTCCTAACCAACGCTGCTCTGTGTTAAAATGATTAAAGAGGTGAATTGAGCGCTCAACTAACTGAACTTAGAAGGTACTTAGAAATCAAAGGCTAAAATTATGCTTAAAAGGCTTTCTTCCTTCACAGTCAAAGCAGGTTTTCAACCAACTGTTAGTTAATCTAGAATGGAGTGCTCATTTTATGCCTCTGGACCTTAACTGCTATCACTTATCTCTTTTTCAAGAGTAAATAACATGTGCTTTGAATCACAGTTTCCTTTGGTAACTGAGTTGTCAGGAAAAAAGTTTTATGGTACCTCTTTGACTTGAAGCAAAGATGTGCGGAACGCAAATCGACTTGCGACACTTCGACACTCGCTTGTGGCTCTGTGGTCACGCTTAAACATGCCTTCTGACAAAAATGAATCAGTGCCATCAGAGGGTCGAATAAGCGTCCACGAAGGTAGGCTTTCACTTACCATCTTTTATGGTTTAAAAAAAGAGGTTATCACATGACTCAGGGAGGCTCAACCATCCTTACTGGCAGAAATCTGTGCTTGACTTTTTAAGCACCGAAAGCACGATAAACAGCTAGTCCGCGGAAGAAATACAGACAGGTGTAAAATGATCCCCCGATCAGAAAAGTGACCTCCAGGTCATGCAAATCTGATGTCTACCTTTAGTGCAGCAACAACTCCTCATCCCTCTCCAACCAGCGGTTTAGAAGAGGATTTTGTGCTGTTGAAGGGAACACTGTTAGGCGAATTGAGAAGCAGATCAAATTCTTGCATGACACACAATCGTCGCTTGTTAGTATTGGCATTTAGAATCGCTCAAACACCTTCCCCTTCCAACTTCCTTAAAAGGGAGAGAGTTTTGAAAGCACTTTTATTGTATTTATAGTAAATATCACGGGGACAAAGTATCTAAAAAAGGATAACATTTGAAAATTGAGATACAATTACGGTTTGGCTACGGGGGAAGCAGTGCGAATGAGAATGGGGGAAGAGTGGAAGGTGGGCTGCCGAGAGGGAAGAGGGAGGGATGAGGAATTGAAGCGATTGGCGTCCACTTTTACTCCACTTTCCACCTCTTATACAGAAGACACATTACAAGGAGGACGACAATCTAAAAGACATGCAGTAAAGTGTAAATACAAGTTAGTGTAAATGCAAAACGTGTATTGTCAAGGGATGCACTAAAAGGCGGTAAAAGAAATGCAATTGTTGAGGTCCCCACCTGAAAAGCTAAGACACCACAGCTGATTCCAACGAAGAGGGTCTTGTGTTCCTTCAAAAATACCTCAATCTTCTCTTTACACCCTTCAACATTCTTTTGTTTTGCGCCATTTTGATCACAGGTTTGAGATGGTTGTTGACTTTTCGCAGTGGTAGCATTCATTTCGCAACAGGGGGATGGATATTGAAGGGTGCCTAAAGTAAAATGCGGCCAATGTCATGCAAAAAAAATACCTCCTTATCATTATATTTTATTTTTAGAAACTAACTAAACATTAAATTGTTTCCTCTGTGAAGTTAAGTAATCACTACTTACTTAGGATTCCATTGAAGTCCCCGTATCCATTCAAACCGCAGCAAAATTCGTCACCATCCTTAACAAAAAAAAAGGGTAAGCATTGCTAATTGCTCGGCAGGAAAAAAAAATGGAACTTATTTAAACTTAGGAGAAAGTGATCACTCACCGAGCCCAATACATTCCAAAGGACTAAGGACGGCTCAGTTAGACTGTCATTCACTCGAAGGTGTTCGAAGGAGCTGTTGAGCACCTTAAAAGCTGCCTTGTTCAACTGCAAAAGGAAGGGAGACAAATGATTGACAAACCTCGTCTCCCTCAAATAAAACGTTTTTAACTCTCTCAAAAGGCAATTGTAGTGATTGATATTTGGTGACAAGTGAAGTGTGTCACTTACGTTGTTGGGTATTGCGAAGAGGTAGATGATGAGACCCAATTCAATTATTGCGAGAACTCCAAGAAGAGCAATATACTGTAAAACGGAAAAAAAATAAAAAGGAATGTTAGTTAAATTCCTTTTTAGAGTCATTGCAAATGAGTAAGTAACTTACAATGAATCCAAGGAAGCGATTCTTGCAGAAGAGAGCAAAAAGACCGATGAGAGCGATTATGGCCACGGAAAAGCCAAGCACAATAAAACCAATCGCAAGTCCAGCTAAATTAAACAAAAAGGGAGGCGCTGTCAAATGCTGAGAAGCAATAGTTTTTGAAACTTTCATACTTTTGAGGCATTAACATACATCCATTTTGTTGAATAAATTTGACCACCTCCTCCAACTCATTCTGTGGCCATTTGGTGGTGACTTTTTCTAACAACCCAAAAAGAAATTTGTCGTTAAACTTTAACAATAAGCCCACAATCCCAACAGCTGCGAAAGCAATCTAAAATAAGGAAAAGATAGAGTTAGTTCATAAGTTTATGCAATAAAAATGTCGCAGTGGATCACCCTCTCGGGACTTACGAAGAGAAGGAGGTTCAATAAGGCCAAAATAATCCTAACGAGACCAAGAAGGCAGTTCATTTTGGTAGTTGCCTAAAATAAGAAGGAAGGCATGAGAAGGTAAGATTGTCGCGGGTACTTGGTGACACCATCGAACTATCAACCTACCTGCAGCAAAATTTAATGGGGGTACCTCCGTGTACCATCAAGGCTTAAATAGTTCGCAAGTGCCATTCAAATGGCTGTACCTGTGAGCATGGAAGAGCCAATTAATTAGCGTCAAACTGGAGCAAAGGGCCTGCTAAAAGCCATACTTGTGCAAATTGACACGGAGAATTTTTATGTAATGACCTTGATAGTAACCAATCAAATCGCTACATTTGCGTTTGTACCTTTGTAAGTAATGAGGGCATTTACTACTACCACATCGTGATACATTTTACCCCAAATCTACCAATTTTATCAGAAAATGTGCATATTTGTCTATTATTAATTGATTTGCACTACCAAGGCGAAAGACACTGAATGAGCTGAGGTGACCTCATCAGTTCTTCGAGTTGCTCAATCAGTGCCATTGGGTCAAAAGTTCATTAAGTGATACAACCGCTGTCACTATGTCCCCTTCTCCTTGTCGGAGAGTTGACAGCACCTTCAAAGTCCTTGTCAAGTCCGGAGAAAATGCCGATGTCGAATGAATGATTGATCGAGGGCTGCATCGTCACCTAAGATAAGCAGTCGGGCCCAGCTTGGATGAGCCAAGGGTAAGTAGATGACATGAGAACGAGGATAAGTGTGGACTAATTAGCCTAAATAACTAAACTGAAGGTAAAAAATTTAAAAGAGGAAGGAGGTTAAGTAAACTAAATGTTTGAATTTGTCATTTTAGAGGGAAATTTAGTGACACATGCAACTTGGCGGCATGATACCACCTTGTCATTTGTTTGGGAGAAAAGTGGAATTTGGTGGTGTCACATTGTTACAATTATCCCCCAAATAAGGTGCAATCACCTCCCACTCAAGTAACATGCCATCTGTAATGACCTAGTTTTCTTGAGGTTGCCTTAACAAATAGATTTTATTTATGTCAAAAATGAGCCTTTGTCAGATTAATACCCGAAAACTTGGCTTACCTGTGTGGCACCCAAGCATGGACCCCCTGTTGATGCTAAGCGTCTCACATCACGACTTTCTCCAGAACAAAGCAGGAGGAATGTTTTTGAGTTAGGAAATGGGAGCAGAGAAGCACCTCCTTCCGAAAATTTCACTCCCTTTATCCCCTTTCAAATCCATCACAAGTGGTATGGGAATGTCTGCTACCGTCAGGTTGACTGGTTACTAGCCAGCCATTTCCTTTGTTGTTTCGTAAAATTCCGGATAACTGCCCCAGAGATTGGATTTAATTAACGAAATTTATTCGTAATGAAGTTATTTTAGTGCCCAGCCTTCGCAATGGCGCGCTTTTTATTTGTTTGAATCCACAACTTTAACAACAACGTGGTTAGCGCGTGCATTCCATTGCTTGCACTTGATCAAGACAATTGGAGGGAGAAATAGGCATAAGACATTTGTCGCAGCCTTTTAACAACCATTTGGACATAATATTCAGCATTTTCTTGTCAAATCTTAAGTGGATAGAGAGCAAATTCGTCTTCCCCGTTGGAGGCTTTTCTAATGCCTAGGCGGATGGGGGATTTCTTCTTGGCGCATGTTTGAGTAGCGTGACTGTGTATTCCCCTTCGTCTGCAAACAACAATTGTGAGTCTTATTGTTGTTGGTAGACGTTTGTTTATCGTCTTTTTTCCCTTAATTTTGATCGCCAACGAGTCCAGCAGAACAGAGCTGCAAGTACTGGAATGTGATGAGGCATTTGCAGTGCGGAAATTAAATTTTAGGTGATAAAGGTCTCCATTTATTTTCTCAATGAAATTGAAATTTTTGATAATTATTTCCTCTTGAAAGAGATGGTTTTGCACTTTGTGCCTTTTAATGTGGTAAGTTTTTTGCAAGGTGAAGTTGTAACTTCCTTATAAATTGGTCGGCTTCGAAATAGTGTGATTAATTTAATTTGTTTGAGTCTGCTCGATCTGCCCAGTGTTTTGGGTAGGCAAGTCTTTCATCTCCAAGGTTTAACTTACGTGACATAACTTTGAAATTCTCACGGAATGCACAGAGACGGTACACAGATACCTTGTATGCTTACAATTTTACAAGCACTAGCAAGATTTACACCCAGTTAAACCCATTTTTGTTAAAGCCTCGGCAGCAGGTAAAGAGGGGTTGATTGATGGAGGAATGGATGAATGGTGGGTCAATAGAAAGATATCGAGTTGTGAATACGGTGAGGCGAATCCAAAAACGAGTTGGCTCTCGAAAGCTACTGCAAACAACCTTACAAACGCTACCTTTATAAGGCTTTAAAATACACCTGATAGGAAGGCGATCACCTCCAAATCGAAGGTTTAATAAGACATTCTTTTGACCAGATGTAGACATGCTATTACGTTCAGATTACATGAAGTCAGTCTTTTGCTTAAATGCATCCAACTTTTCTCCTCTTTACAGAGGAAAAAAGGCCAAAATGTCCACTTGTCCTAGACTGTACCACTTTACTCGAGGCATAAACAGGCAAAATTCTACAAAGGTGCCTGCAGAACTCGCCGGCCATCATTTCGCACAAAGTTGTGTGTACATGTACGCGCCCAACTTTGATCACGTGTGTCTCTAACTCAAAAATTAAACTATGCATTGTGCCACCGAAAATTGCTTGCATGTTCTGCTTGGCAGCACAGCAAGTTAATTGCCAATCCACGTGCTCGATTGGCACGAGAGAAAAAAATCGATATTCGGAGAGGAGCACCGCCACCCGCGCTGGTATTAACGCCATCAAGGCGTACAAATTGGGTGATTTGAGGAGATTCCTTGGAACAAAGTTACGATCTACATATCTTTAAGTGTCTTATTTTTTTTTAAAAAAACTCAATGAAACAATTTAAAGCCATGATTTTTCTGCTTTTCTACAAATGCAAACGTGGATTGTGGGTGTATAGGGATAAATGGCAGCGACTGGTTGGCGAAATGGGCAAACATTGCAAACGCCCTCAATCATAGGCTTAAATAAGGTTAAAGCGGGTCATATGATCAAAATTTGGATAATTTAATTTTGTAGATGCTGAATCTAGCAAGCATTCATACGATTGACATCAATTTCATATGCCTGTGGCAACCGCAAGTCGCTTGTCAAACTTACTCTTCAATTTGCTAGCAGCCGTCTCAGGCTCTAGTGCACATCATGAACGCCTAGAAGAAGTAATTGTTAGCTGTCAAACTGGAGGACAAGTAGAGCATCCATCTCTATGCAGTGGAACTTATGACTCTTCATTCTCCACTAATATTTAAATTGAAAAAAAAACATAAGATGTTTATCGCGAGTGAGTGGCTTGAGTGGAAATATTTGTGAGGACCTTGAGAAGTGAAAAAAATGCTTGTGCAAGTTATATCCTCACACCATTTCAAAAGTCTAAAGAATGGGCTTTGCAGCTGACCTCTCATTACGTGTGCAAAGGGGTTTACGAAACTATATTCACATTAGATTTTTCCATTTAATATGCTACTGAAATAAATCACAAGTAGTATGGTCGCCACATTTAAAACTCGTTATTAATTTTCAACCACCATGGCGTTAAGGTGCAACATAAGTCAAAAGTTAAAGAATGTGCTGGCCGAAATCGTTGAAAAATTAATTTGTGTATATTTGAGATAATAAATAATAAGGAAAGTAAAGTCTTTTTTGTACAGAAGTTCTATCTAAGTCGGCATAACCTCAGTCTGGCTATTAATGCGGCGGCCGTGAGAGTAAACAAGATGAACTAAAACAAAATAACAATAAATAAATAATAGTATTATTGTAAGAGGCGTCCTTTTTCTTTGTTCAATGCGAACAATGCACAACCGTGTGAAAATACTAAGTGGAAATTTCACCTGGACTAGCAATATACCCACAGAGACGAGGGTAAATGTTCGCATTTCTCGCCGAAGGAAATTTGTAATTCGGCTTCTACAGCCAAACACCCACTGCAGTTCCAGGGAATCACATCGACACACCTCATTAAGAGCAATGGCACAGCATTCTTTGGGGCAAATGCCTAAAGTAGACGGCAATCTACAAGGATGCGTAAATTTCTTACCAAAAGGAAGGTAGCTAACGTTAAAATCGCTGGGCGAGTCCATGCCACAACAACGAACTCCATTTTCCTGTAATACGTAAATCATGTGTTGTCACGATGACGTACTACTTACGTGCTAATTAAGTAGACAAACCTTTTGCATGATTAGCGACCAAATGACGGTGGAAAATCCAGATAGGCCCTCAAAGTCACGCAGTAGGAAGGATAATGCCGATGTTATGGTGTTTATAAACTGCAAAAGGAAGATTTGCCTTAAAGTGCTTAAACTAGTTTTAAGGGCTGTTTAACGCCGTACTTACGAGATTTTGAGTGCTGAAAAGGACGATTATTCCAATGCCCTCCAAAAAAACCGTCATACCCAGAATTCCACCGTACTAAAGAAGGAAATGGAGTTACCGTCTTCCTCCAGAAGGAGCAATGAAGAATCTACAAAGACGATGAGATTTTAGCCCTTGCTCCGTTCTACTTTGGAGGGAATGGCCCAGCTGAATGACTAAGGCGTGTAGACGTTTCGAAGTTGTACCCCCGCTTCCTCCAAAAAGTAACCGACTGGGCTTACGCATTTTTTTGCCCAATGGTAGCTTGATAGCCCAGGCGAGGTGTCTGAACTGCCCACTCTGTCTCAGGGATCACAAATGCAACAGATTGGCGAGCTTCTAGACGGTATTAAAGCCTGTTGTAAATTTAGCCGCCTTTTTTAATTGGGAGGTAAAAGAAATTCCACTCTTAATGACCCTCATTTCTATCTCTGTCGTCTTCTTTACCCTCTGCCTCATTCTGCTTGTGGGAAAAAAGGATGACCGCAGGAGGAGGAGGAGGAGGAGTGCGCATTCGTGGCTTCATGGATGAGTGAAAGGCACTGAAGCTCTTCTACCTTGTTTGACGAGTTATTTTTCCACACTCTCGTTCAAAGCTGGTCGTCGAAGCTCTAATTATTGCTAACTTGACTGTTCTTGAAAGACAAAAGCCACTCCCGTTTAGAGACTACCTCATTAAAACAATCCACATTTTCACATCAAAGGCATGCTGAAATGCTTGACAGCACTTCAAGTGCACTGTCAAGCTCTAACGCAAAAAAAAAGATGGCATGTGACGCTTTACTTTAGCCAAAATCATTGGCACCTCCTTCAACGGGCTGTCCTCGACTTGGCACCAAAAATTTTTCTTCTCTCACCGAATGTTGGTGCCACAAAAAATAGTCTAAAGATGAGTAAAGTGTGCCCAAAGAAGTGTCTTTAAACACCCCTCAGACCT